TTTTTACCAGCAAATTGGACTTAAATTTGAGAAAGGAACTAGTGAAATGCTACATTTCGAGCATCACTTTGTATGGGGCTGAAACTTGGACACTTAGGGCAGTAGATCAGAAACACCTGGAAAGCTTCGAAATGTGGTGTTTGAGAAGGATGGAGAAGATCAGTTGGACTGATTATGTGAGAAATGAAGAAGCGTTATTTAGAGTCAGTGAGCAGAGGAATATCCTACACGAAATAAGAAAACGGAAGGCTAATTGGATTGGCCATCTCTTACGCAGTAACTGCCTTCTAAAAGAAGTTATTGAAGGAAAGATAGAGGTGCAGATAGAAGAGACCAGAAGACGTAAGAAGATGCTGGATGACCTTGGGGACAGAAGAGGATATTCTCATTTGAGGAGAAAGCTCTAGATCGCATTAAGTGGGGGAACTGTTTTGGAAGAGACTGTGGACCTGTCGTCTGACAGATTACTGATGAATGAATGAATGAATAACTGAAAAGAAATTAGTTTGAAGAATTCTGGTAGGGAAATCATTTCATCAAGTTTTTGCTATCAGAACAGCTACTGTCACTTACTTTTACAAAAGAATGTGTTATTTGCACTAATGAAATTTTAGACAATGCAACCACAACTGCGTAGGAATTTTCACTTGAGCATCTTTTGTTTAATACAAAACTGAACACCTAACGGAATATTTCGTTATCCTGATGGTTGGAAAATTGTGAAAGTAACATGCCATGAGACTTGCTGTCCATTCAAGTGCTCACTACTGCATTTTGAGCAGTGATACAGTAAGCCAAATACTCAACCACCTTCCGTCCAGGTGAATATCCCTCGTTATTCCCTGAACAACTGCAACTAGAAACTGTACACACTTCATATGCACAAGACTGAAAGTACTGTAAATGGCTCCCACCTGTGTAGTTTGGTGCACAGCCTCATATGTCAGTGTTCCTGAGCGTGACACAATACCTACAACCCCACGCTGATGAATGTGGCCAGGCATAATTCCAATCTTACACTGAAAACAGAAAATTGAGTTAGATATGATACACACAGTAGCGTAGTTGGTAGACTGTGTGGAACATTTAACCAGTCATGAATAACTGATGGAGTTCCGCTGAGTATAAACCAGTGAATCATATTGTGACATGTTGAGCTCTGAATGACGCTCCTCCCCCCCCACCCCTCCGCCAGCCGTGATGCGCCGAGCGAAACCGAAGTGAGCCGATGTTAGCCGAGTCCTAGCATCCTGGTCGCTAGGCAACGCAAGTCAACGCGGTGACGTCACCAAGGGATATCGCGGTTACTAGGCAGCCGTCAACAACTCTGGACAGCGTGGCTAGCAACAAGGGTGCCTATTACGTGGCCGTATTGTCCGATCGAGGCTACATAGGGAGCAGCGAAGGCTATTCACAGTCAGTTGTACTGAGTCAGTCAGTGAGTCCTGGAGCTACCGCCGAGTTAGCCAGCAACTAGTTAGTGGTATTCTGGCATTTGGAGTGTACTAATTGTGATACTGCAGATAGCAGTAA